CACTTTCACATCCCCATGACACTGTCAAAAATACTGTTTTTTGTCTTCAGATTTTTTTAATTTAAAAAAGAAACATGAATATATTTCCTTTTTTCTTAATATTTGTTTCATAATTTGTGGATTTTTTTATTTTAAATATTACATTTCATTGTCTTTCTGACCTTCCTTTCAGAAACCTTTGACAACAGAAATACATTTACAGAAGTTTTTTTTTTTTTTAACCATTACATGTGTTTGGAAATTAAATTGAATTATTAATAAGTGTAACAGTCCAACTGTTGTTATTTAAAATTAATTCTATGAAGTTAAACTTTTAAAAAAATCAGTTTCAATAAGTTTTTCATTTTATAAATTTATCTGGTTGTATGTTTTTTTTTTTTTTTTTTTGTGTGTGTGTGTGTGTGTGTGCGATAATGTAATAGCGCCGAAAACATTTAATCGGTTGGATTCTTTATAAAAGGATAGAAATATTTTTACGGTATTTTGTATGTAAACGCTTTCGATTCTTTCTAATATCATATTTATCGTATTCAACATTCTCTCAGTCAACATGTGATTGTATACAGGAAACTTCTAAATTTTGATAAAATTTAATTTCAGTAAATTACACTCGGAAACTCGGTTAACAATGTACGTGTAAAAATACAAATGAAAATCAGAAATTATGAGAAAAGTTAAAGTATACACATTTTTTATAAAATTAACATACTTCCAATAAATCAAGTGAGTGATTGTTAATCAAATCATGAATCGGAAATAATATATATTTCAGTTTGTGTTGATTTTATTAGAAATGTTCACTATCCTCCAGAGATTAAAAATAATAAATCTTTTGAAGCATTTTCCCAGCTGAAAATTTTAGTCATGATTCACACATCATAAATATGAATGTTTTGACGGATGCACAAGTAAAATATATTTACTTTCCAAATGTGTTATCAACAAATAATAATCATTTACAAATATTGGTATACATATATCCAAGTATTAATGCGTCGTTTTCCTTACAATTTATCTTTTATAAAAGTAATTTCATAACCAAATACTTGTTTTATTTTTCAGACACTTGTGAACTTAAAAACATTCGTAAATATAAGGTTTTGAGCAATAATAGCAAATAAATATCTAATACGGTCAAAAGTAAATTGTTTATTGTGAATGTTTAAAAATTAATGATGTACGCATTGCTCTTGTTTTGACTAGATAATCTGTAGATGGTAGACGTTTGTTGAGAAAGCTAAATATTTATTAGTCGAATAGTCGAATTCGGTAAATTACACCACATGTAAAAATATAATTCAGATATTTTTGCATTCAGAATAGCTGAAAATATTACTTTAATTAAGCTGATCCCGTAGTGTTAATCAGATTCTATTTTCTTCGTTTTATTTAATACCATTTAAAGGAAAATCATTTAAATAGTTTTCAATACTGCGCTACCATCTCATTTATTGTAGACAGAAAATCAGCTAATCAATTAGCTATGCTTAATTCTCGTGCTGTTTTATTTGCCAGTCCAAAGAACTTTTTGTTTCGAATTTGGACACAGACTTAAACTGTTTTTAATTATGAACGTTTATATTTGTATGTTTGTTGTATTATTTTTATAATTAAAATTTAGGGGGAAATAATGTTTTCTTACTGCCTTAATATATTAAATTACAGTTTCTTATATTGATCACACCTATTTGTTTAGTTTCATATGTCTCAATAGACTGAGAGTCAGTGTTCCAAATAAGTTTGTTACATTTGCTTTCATCAAATAAGGATATTTTATCAATATAACTGGGAATAAAAGAATAATATGAGTCCTTTCGCGGTGCCTTTTTTAAAAGGGCAGTTCATAGAATTTTCTAATATTCGACAATTATAAATTGAATAATTGAAATGAGTGTGTGATAGATATCATTTTTATCATGTCTATGTGCTATTTTTTTTTTAATATAATATTCAAAAAAATAACTTATAAAATGTCACTGTTAATGCTGATTTTTCCAAGAGAAATTTTCTGAAATATAGTGAATTATTTATTCTTCAAATTTCCGATATTTCGACTTTGGCTTAAATTTATTCCAGAGAAATATTACACTTTCATTACTAATTTTAAATAAAAGCGACTTCTCAAATCGAATCAGATTGCAAACTTTATCTTACTTTTCTTTTCTTTTATTATTTTTTGCTCTTGACTCTGTAAAATTTTATTATCCTATATTGACGGCTTTAGAAAATGACGAATAACACAAGGAGAAGGCTATCTAAAAGAGCGCAAATAACGTCTGAGTTGAGACACAGTTATTGAATACTAAAAGCAGCAATCGAATGAGGAGCCTGTCTGGTCGCATCATTTCTTACACTTTCCGCATGTTTATGAGGATAAGATCATTCGGTCAACGAAATCTTAAGGTAGCAGTGACTCCATCTGAGGAATTCCTGTTGATGGACGCCTAATAATCTGTGGCTTAGCGATAAAGAGATTTCCACACACAAGTAAATGTACGAGATTCTCTATTTGTAACCCGTGGCACGATCTGTTTTGTATGTGATTCATCTGGTAGTTTCTCTAAGTTTACTTCTCGCTTTCGTACAAACTAATACAGAAAGAAAGTCCTGCACTTTCCCTCAGTCACTTCGTTCATGTTATTATTTTACTTTAACTCATCAGATTTTCCTGTATCTTTTTATTTCTGATCTCTCTCTCTCACTCTCTCACTCACATATTATTAATTTCATAGATATTTAATACATTTTGCCAATATAAGAAGAATTCAAGATTTTGGAAGCCAGTGTTGAGCTCAGAAGATTTACCTAGTTCGAAAGATTATGCCTGTTTTGGAACAATAGGCTACTTACCTGTGTTTAAACAGCAACCAGCTGTGACGACAGGGTTTATATGACAATATCATCTAGTATGGTTTATTTTGTAATAGATCTTTTTAAATGCAACAGTCGAAATAAAATGAGGGATTTTATTATATTACTTATCATAGTGGTATCAATTTTCTAAAGTAGATCTTAGAAAGTTAATATGGATGAAAATATATAAAAAAAAATTAATTGCATCTCAAACGCATATGAAAACGCATATTTTAGGTCACTAGTAGAAAACAGTTCTCGTATAAAATTTAAGCAGTTGGAAATTTAAAAAAATAATTGGCAAAGAAACTGAATGGTGCATAGTCGAGACCAGATTTTCTTGACTTTTTATTTCCTGTGCCCAATTTTGATACCAAAGAAAAATATGAGGCGCACAAAAGCAAATTAAAAATTTCATGAAACCGGGAATATATTATAGAAAATGTAATTCCTAACTGATGTCTACACTGCTTCTTGCGTCTCCAGATCTGTTTAGAATATTCTTGGGCCCACTTTTAGGTCTAAGAGCCTATGTCGATGATAACTGGACGAGATCATTGGGTGCAGCGATCAACGTCAGCAAAAATAAGGCAGGATCTAGGAAAATTGGCGTGAAACTTCCGTAAATTTACGGACCAAATCTGTGAAATGAATGTGCATTTCCGTGACCGTCTCTGCAGAATTTTTTTAAAAAATTACATCGACTTATACAAGAGTGCGACAGACATAAATCTCACATTTTAAACTATCATCTGTGTGGTGCTAGTGAACTTAGCAAGGGACACTGTTGTTTTCATTGAGCTAATATCTTACCATTATGTGAAAGGCATGTCCGACGCGCCCTTTAGCTAATGTTATGTATAATTTAAGAAAGAAAAAAAAAGTAAAGGAATATTTAGCAACACTAGAAATTACTAACATCTGATCTAACTGGTCATCCAGTCGCCAAACAACAGACGCAAAGTTTTTAAAATCGTCTCCTCAATGAGAAAGGTCAACACGGCTCAAGGGCACGCTTGGCTTTCCCGGGTGAATCCGATTGACTAATGCGGGTTATAATTAGACCGTGAAGCTGATCCGATAAATAAATAAATGAAGGACTTCCTATTCGAGATAGTTCGGGAGAAATCTGGTCTTTTCTAGAAGACCATGAATCGAGAAACCTCTCGGGCCGAAAACGGAAGTGTACCACCATACAAAATGCGAAATATAAAAAGACGAGTTTGGGGATGAATGGGAAGACGGCAGAATTTGCTGGTGAGTTTTGCGGAGAGAGTTAAGCAGATGTGGAATTTTGTCAGCGAAACGTACGAACTGACCCATGGGTCGGCCTGTTGTGGCCGGAATTAAAATATCACCCCTGTAGATAGCAGGTTAATAAACTCCCGCTGGGATCGTTATTAGTCATTTTCTCTCTCTCACTTGACAATTCACACGAGCGGAAAAATAAACCAGCAAGAAATCAATTGTGGACTTCAAATTTGCGTCCGCGTGGATATTTTTATAACATGCAGTAACGGAATTTAGTGTCGTCGCAAGCGACCACATCACACATGACATTTTAGAGTAATCAGTGGCATTGTTACAAATGCATTTTTGTTGCACTATTTACTCTGTGAATGAAATTATAGGAAAAGATAGACGTAATCTAAGGACTTCCGTTGATCAATTAATACAGGTCACTGAAAAAATGTTTTTCGCAGAGTACTGGATGACAGAAATTTTCAGATGTGTTGATCTGAGAACAAGCATACAAATAGAGAAAGACTTTCTAAAGTGATTTTCATAACGATTTAACACGTCTTTATTTTCTTTCTCGACATTTAGGTAGATATTGGATTCTTTGTCTTTTCCATTCAGTTGAACATATGAAGATTCATTCTGTCTCATGATTGTGCAAGATTTTTACCTGTTTATCTTTCACGCTGAAATTATTTTCTTTCAAACAAATCATTGTCTCTTTATTATCCAATCTTAATTTTCACACATTGTCTCTCTCCCTTGCATTGCTATGTTTTCTCTTCCTCTCTCTTCCTTGCATTGCTATGTTTTCTCTTCCTCTCTCTTCCTTGCATTGCTATGTTTTCTCTTCCTCTCTCTTCCTTGCATTGCTATGTTTTCTCTTCCTCTCTCTTCCTTGCATTGCTATGTTTTCTCTTCCTCTCTCTTCCTTGCATTGCTATGTTTTCTCTTCTCTCTCTCTCTTCCCTTCTTTTGCTATTTTTTCTCTTCTCTCTCTTCTTTTATCTATTATCTATCTGTTTCTCTTCCTCTCTCTTCCTTTCATTTCTATCTTTCTCTTCCTCTCTCTTCCTTCCTCTCTCTCTTCCTCTCTCTCTCCCTTGCATTGCTTTTTTCTCTTCCTCTCTCTCCCTTGCATTGCTATGTTTTCTCTTCCTCTCTCTCCCTTGCATTGCTATTATTTTCTTCCTCTCTCTTCCTTGCATCTCTATATTCTTCTTTCTCTCTCTCTCTCCCCTATCTATCTCTCTATGTTTTCTCTTCTCTCTCTTCCTCTCTCTTTGCTATCTTTTTATCTTCCTCTCTCTTCCCTATTTATTCTTGCTATGTTTCTCTTCCTCTCTCCTCTTGCATTGCTCTGTTTTCTCTTCCTCTCTCTTCCCTCTCATTGCTATCTTTTCTCTTCCTCTCTCTTCCTTGCATTGCTATTTTTTCTCTTCTCTCTCTTCCTCTCTTGCATTCTATATCCTCTTTCTCTCTATCCTCTTCTTCCTTCTATCTCTATGTTTTCTCTTCCTCTCTCTCTTTCCCTTCTCTATCTATCTATCTATCTTTCTTCCTCTCTCTCCTTGTCATTGCTATTTTTCTCTCTCTTCTCTTCCTCTTTCTTCTTTTCTCTTCCTCTCTCTTCCTCTTCCTCTCTCTTCCTTGCATTTTCTCTCTTTTCTATCTTTTTCTCTTCTCTCTCTTCCTTGCATTCTATCTATCTTTTCTCTTCCTCTCTCTCTCCTTGCATTTCTATGTTTTCTCTCTTCCTCTCTCTTCCTCTCTCTTTTTTTTTTCTCTCTCTTCCTCTCATTGCTCTCTTTTCTCTTCCTCTCTCTTCCTTATCTATGTTTCTCTTCTCTCTCTCTTTCCTTCATTTCTATCTTTTTCTTCTCTCTCTCTCTTCTTTTCTTCTCTTATCTTTTTATCTTTCTCTCTATCTATCTCTCTCTCCCTTGCATTTTATCTTTTCTCTTCCTCTCTCTTCCTCTCTCTCCTCTTGCATTCTCTATCTTTCTATCTATGTTTTTCTCTCTCTCTCCTCTCTCTCATTCTTTTTCTATTCCTCTCTTCCCTGCATTCTCTCTGTTTTCTCTTCCTCTCTCTTCCATCATTTCTTCTTCCTCTCTTCTTCTTCTATCTCTTCCTCTCTCTTCCTTCTATCTATCTATCTTCCTCTTGTTTTCTTCTCTCTCTCTCTCCTTGCATTTTCTATGTTTTCTCTTCCTCTCTCTTCCTATGCATTCTTCCTTTTCTCTCTTCCTCTCTCTTCCTTGCATTGCTATCTTTTTTTCTCTCTCTCTCTCTTCCTTCATTCTCTCTGTTTTCTTTTTTCTCTCTTCTCTTCATTCTATCTTTCTCTATCTCTCTCTTCCTCTCTCTATCTTTCTCTTCCTCTCTCTTTTTTCTTTTCTCTCTCTTTCTCTCCTCTCTCTCCCTATCATTATTCTTTTTTTCTCTTCCTCTCTCTTCCCTATGTTTTATTCTTTCTCTCTCTCTCCCCTTCATTTTCTCTCTCTTTCTTTCTCTTCTTCCTTGCATCCCTATGTTTTCTCTTCCTCTCTATTCCTTATCATATCTATTTTTCCTCTTCCTCTCTCTCCTTCTTTTCTCTGTTTTCTCTTCTCTCTTTCTATCTTCTATTATCTATCTTCTATCTTCCTCTCTATTCCTTTCATTGCTCTCTCTCTTCCTCTCTCTTTCCTTCTTTTCTCTATCTATCTCTCTTCCTCTCTCTTCCCTATCTTTCTATATTTTTTCTCTCTTCTCCTCCTCTCTCTTCCTCTCTCTCTTTCTTCTATCTTATCCCTCTCTCTCTTTCTTCTCTTCCTTGCATAACTATCTTTCTCTCTCTCTTCCTCTCTCTCTCTCTCATTCTTCTTTTTTCCCCTCTCTATCTATCTATCTTTCCTTATCTTTCTCTTTCTCTTCTTCTCTCTCTTCTCCCTCTTTATTCTATTTTTCTCTTCCTCTCTCTTCCTTTCATCTCATCTATCTTTTTCTCTTCCTCTCTCTTCCTCCCATTCTATCTTTTCTCTATCTCTCTCTCTCCTTCCTCTTCCTCTTTTTCTCTTTCTCTCTCTTTCTCTTCCCTATCTTTCTTTCTTCTTCCTTCTCATTTCTCTTTCTATCTATCTTTCTTCCTTGCATTGTTATGTTTCTCTCTTCCTCTCTCTTCCTCTTTCTATCTTCTATCTTTCTCTCTCTCTCTTCCTTGCATTTCTCTCTCTTTCTCTTCCTCTCTCTTCCTTATTCTTTTCTATCTATCTATTTATCTATCTCTCTTCTCTCTCTTCTATCCATTCTATCTTTTCTCTTCCTCTCTCTTATGTTTTCTATGTTTTCTCTTCCTCTTCTCTTCTCTCTTCTATTATCTTTTCTCTTCTCTTCTCTCTCCTTCTATCCTCTCTATATCATTTTCTCTTCCTCTCTTTCTCTATCCTTCTATTATTCTTTTCTCTTCCTCTCTCTTCCTTGTCATTGCTATCTTTCTCTTCCTCTCTCTTTCCTCTATTCTTTCTCTTCTATCTCTCTATCTATGTCATTCTATTTATCTCTTCTCTCTCTTCTCATTCTATCTTTTCTTTCTCTCTTCCTCTCTCTTCTCTCTCTTTATCTCTTTTCTCTCTCTCTTCTCATTCTATATTTCTATCTTCTCTCTCTCTATCTATTCTATTGTTGTCTTTCTCTTCCTCTCTCTTTCCCATCTATCTATGTTTTCTCTTCCTCTCTCTTTATTCTTTTCTCTCTTTCTCTTCCTCTCTCTTCCTTCTATCTATTTTTTTCTCTATCTCTCTCTTCCTTCCATCTCTATTTTTTCTCTCCTCTCTCTTCTTCTCTCTTTGTTTTTCTCTTCCTCTCTCTTCTTATCTATCTTTATCTTTCTCTCTTCCTCCCTCTTCCTTCTCTCTTCTCTTTCTCTTTTTCTCTTCTCTCTCTTCCTCCTCTTTATTCTTTTCTCTTCCTCTCTCTTCCTTCATTCCTCTCTCTTTTTCTTCCTCTCTCTTCCTATCTATTCCTCTTCTCTTCTCCTCTCTTCCTTTCTTTTCTATCTATCTCTCTTCCTCTCTCTCCCCTATCATTCTTCTTTTCTCTTCCTCTCTCTTCTCTTCATCTCTCTTTTTCTCTTCTCTCTATCTTCCCTCTATTCTCCTTCTCTCTTCTCTTTCTGTTTCTATGTTTTTTCTCTCTTCCTCTTCCTCTATTCTATCTTTTCTCTTCTCTCTCTTCCTCCTCTTTCCCTATTTTTCTCTTCTTCTCTCTCTCTTTCTCTCTATTATTATGTTTTCTCTTTCTCTCTCTTCCTTGCCTTTGTTTCTCTCTTTTTTCTCTTCTATCTCTCTATCTATCTCCTTTTTCTCTTCTATCTCTCTCTCTCTATGTTTTTCTCTCTCTCTCTTCCTCTCATTTTCTATCTATCTCTCTCTCTTTCTTTTTTCTCTCTTTCCTTCTCATTATCTATTTTTCTTCCTCTCTCTCTCTTCCTTTTCTCTCTTCCTCTCTCTTTTCTTTTTCTCTCTTCCTCTCTCTTCTTCCATCTTTCTTTATCTTTTTCTCTCTTTCTCTCTTCTTCCTCTCTCTTTCTATCTCTCTTTTCTACTTTTCTATCCTCTCTTTTCCTTGTTCTCTCTTTCTCTTCCTCTCTCTTCCCTTGCATTCTATTTTCTATCTATCTCTCTATCTATTCTATGTATCTATCTATCTTGCATTCTTCTATTTTCTCTCTTTCTCTTCTCTCTCTTTCCTATTTTCTCTATCTCTCTCTTCCTTTTCTATTATGTTTTTTCTTCCTCTCTCTTCCTTTCTCTTTCCCTATTTTTCTCTTCCTCTCTTCCTTGCATTATCTATGTTTTCTCTTCTCTCTTCCCTCTCTCTTTCCTTTCTCTTCCTCTCTCTTCCTCTCTCATTCTATCTTTTTCTTCCTCTCTCTTCCTCTTCATTCTATGTTTTTCTTCTCTCTCTTCCTTGCTTTGTTTCTTCCTCTTTCTCTTCCTCTCTCTTTTCTATCCTTTCTCTCTTTCTCTTCCTCTCTCTTCCTTCTATTCTATGTTTTCTCTTCCTCTCTCTTCCTTGCATTGCTATCTTCTTCTTCTCTCTTCTCTCTCTCTATCTATTTTTCTCTTCCTCTCTCTTCCTCTCATTCTTATTTTTCTCTTCTATCTTCCTTCTCCTATGTTTTCTCTTCCTCTCTCTTCCTTGCATTCTTTCTCTTTCCTCTTCCTCTCTCTTCTATTCTTATTTCTCTGTTTTCTCTTCTCTCTCTATCTCCTTCATTGCTCTGTTCTCTCCTCTCTCTTCCTATTCTTTTTTTCTCTATCTTCCTCTTCCTCTCTCTTCCTTGCATTCTATGTTTCTCTTCCTCTCTCTTCCTCTCTCATCTATGTTTTCTTTTCTCTCTCTCCCTTGCATTCTATATTTTCTCTTCCTCTCTCTTCCTTCATCTCTCTTTTTCTCTTCCTCTCTCTTCTATCATTGCTCTTTTTTCTCTTCCTCTCTCTTCCTCTCATTGCTATGTTTTCTCTTCCTCTCTCTTCCTTCTTCCTTTTCTATCTCTCTTCTCTCTCTTCTCTCTCTATCTATGTTTCCTCTTCCTCTCTCTTCCTCTATTCTTTTTCTTCCTCTCTCTTCCTTGCATTGCTATCTTTATCTCTTCTCTCTTCCTTGCATTTCTATTTTTTCTTCCTCTCTCTTCCTTCATTGCTATCTCTTTCTCTATCTCTCTTCCTTATGTCTATATTTTCTCTTCCTCTCTCTTCCTTGCATTTTATTTTTTCTCTTCCTCTCTCTTCCTTGCATTGCTATGTTTTCTCTTCCTCTCTCTTCCTTGCATTCCTCTCTTTTTCTTCTCTTTTCCTTGCATTCTATCTTTCTCTTCCTCTCTCTTCCTTGCATCCTATTTTTTCTTCTCTCTCTCCTCTCTCTTCTATCTTTCTCTTCTCTCTCTCTCTCCTTGCATTCTATTTTTCTCTTCCTCTCTCTTCCTCTCATTGCTATTTCTTTTCTCTCCTTCCTCTCTCTTCTCTCTCTCTTTTTCTTTTTTTCTCCTCTCTCTCTCTTCCTTGCATTGCTTTATTTTTTCTCCTCTTCTCTCTTCCTTCTATTGCTCTTTTTCTTCCTCTCTCTTTCTTGCATTGTCTATGTTTTCTCTTCTCTCTCTTCTCTCTTCTCTTATTCTTCCTTTCTATTTTCTCTTCCTCTCTCTCTTCCTTCATTCTATTTTTCTTTCCTCTCTCTCCTCTCTTCCTCTTTTCTCTTCCTCTCTCTTTTCCTTCTTCTATCTATTTCTCTTCCTCTCTCTTTTTTCATTGTCTTTTTCTCTTCCTCTCTCTTCCTTGCATTATCTATCTTTCTCTTCCTCTCTCTTCTCTTGCATTCTATTTTTCTTTCCTCTCTCTCTCCTTTCATTCTCTCTTTTTCTCTTCCTCTCCTTCTTCTCTCTATCTTTTTCTTTCCTCTCTCTTCCTTCCATTGCTTTTTTTCTCTCTTCTCTCTCCTCTTCCTTCTATGTTTTCTCTTTCTCTCTCTCTCCTTCTATCTCTCTCTTCTCTCTTCCCTCTTTCTCTCTTTCTCTTCCTCTCTCTCTCTTTCTCTATCTATCTTTTCTCTTCCTCTCTCTTCCTTCTATTTATATTCTTTCTCTTCCTCTCTCTTCTTGCTATTTTCTCTTCTCTCTCTTCTGTTTTCTATTTTTTTCTCTTCCTCTCTCTTCTCTTCCATCTCTATGTTTTTCTCTTCCTCTCTCTTCCTTTTATTCTATTCTTTCTCTTCCTCTCTCTTCCTCTTCATTCTTTGTTTTTCTCTTCCTCTCTCTTCCTTTTCCTATTATCTATGTTTTCTTCCTCTCTCTTCCTCTATTGCTCTCTTTTTTCTTCTTCCTCTCTCTTCCTTCTCTATCTATTCTTTTCTCTTCCTCTCTTCCTTGCATTGCTATGTTTTCTCTTCCTCTCTCTTCCCTTATCATTATTCTTTTTCTCTTCCTCTCTCTTCCTTGCATTCTATGTTTTCTCTTCTCTCTCTTCCTCTCATTTTTTGTTTTCTCTTCTCTCTCTCTTCCTTGCATTCTATGTTTTCTCTTCCTCTCTCTTCCTCTTCATTATCTATGTCTTTCTCTCTTCCTCTCTCTTCCTTGCATTGCTATCTTTTTCTCTTCCTCCTCTCTTCCTTCATTTCTATTTTTTTCTCTTCTCTCTCTTCCTTGCATTGCTATGTTTTCTCTTCCTCTCTCTTCCTCTTGCATTGCTATGTTCTATCTTCCTCTCTCTTCCTTGCATTCTATGTTTTCTCTTCCTCTCTTCCTTGCATTCTATGTTTCTCTCTTCTCTCTCTTCCTTGCATTGCTATGTTTTCTCTTCCTCTCTCTTCCTTGCATTGCTATGTTTTCTCTTCCTCTCTTTCCTTGCATCTATGTTATCTTCCTCTCTCTCTATTCATTGCTATGTTTTCTCTTCCTCTCTCTTCCTTGCATTGCTATGTTTTCTCTAGATCCAAATATGTGTTATGTGCGCGACTGGCAGTTCGTTTCGATGCCAACAGATGTGAGATGATTAAAATTATCGACGTTCAAGCACAGTCTCTTGTGTTCAGTTCCCATTCTGAGTTCCATTTAAACTGTCCACGTGCCTAGGTTTGCCGTGTACAACTAACATCAGCTAAATACTGTCATTTCGTTTCTCCCGAGATCTCGCTTTCTTCTGCTGGTTTCATTTATTTTCTTTCTTTTCGCATGTGAATCACATATCCGTGGCTATTATTCTCGCCTGGGGATAAATCATTGTTTCATGGTTTTCGTTTGATGTTTATCATTCTTCTTTTCAGACATACTGTCATAATCACATAATCCAACTCCCTCTTTACCATTCCTTTATCTCCATAAACATATATAGATTTAATTTCTTTATCGCAAACTTGTGTAATTTCCAACTCTCTTTCTTGGTTTTTATACTGTTTTTTTTTTTTTTTTTGTTTTTTATAAATTTTCATTTATTTATTTTCTTATTTTTTCTTTTTATTTAAATGAAAAACACCATTATAAAAGTCGTATATTGCAATTAAAAGCGAGAATGCGTATTCGAATGTCGGTTAACATGATTGAAAAAAAGAATTGTCCGCTTGGCCAATCCGAAATAGGCTACAATATTTTAATGGCGGAGTAAAATACAACCTATATTAATCAGAGATGAAATGGCTTCTGCAACAAAATAATTTCTATTTCATGAATGCTCACAATATTTGTACTTGAATAGCTATACTATTTACAATATTCGAACTATTATCCTCATCTTTGTCGCCATGTTTATCACAACGTTTCGGCCGTTGTACGCTAGGCATTCTTCAGGTGGTTGGAATGTCGAACTGAAACATTTATTTTGCTCATTGGGACTATTCTAGTTTCACGTGCCATGTCTAATGGATGACAGTTATACAAAAAACTAATGTCTTCAGCAACCATTTTTTCCAGTGCTCTCCAGTTAATTCCCCTCTGAAAGTTCTCCACTGCCTTAACCAGGTATTGAACTCACACACTTTGGGTCCTGTCACTGGATCTAAATAACACCAACTGTGCCATGTGTCCTTGTGGACATCTGTGGATGAATTTCTGGATATTATAAACCTAATGTCTTCAGAAACCGTTTTTTTACCAGTGCTCTTATTGCAATTTTTGCTGTTAACATTGCATGTTTCCCCAAGCGCACGTGGCACAGTGGGTAAAGGTTTTAGTTAGATCCAGTGAGAGGACCCAAAGAGTGTGAGTTCAATACCTGGTTAAGGCAGTGGAGAACTTTCAGAGGGGAATTAACAGGAGATAACTGACATCCATTAGACATGTCACGTGGAACTAGAACAGTCAACCCCAGAGAGCGAAATAAATGTTTCAGTTCGACATTCCAAATACCTGAAGAAAGCGTACAACGGCCGAAACCTTGTGATAAACATGGCGACAAAGATGACAACAGTCTGAATAATGTAAATAGTGTACATAATATCTCATCTCAGAAATATAGATATATGTTGAATAGCTATGTTGCTTCAATATTTATTCGTGGGAGAGAACAGGTTTTTGGACAATCTAAAATTGTATAACATAATCTTACACCAAACCGAACCAGAATTAGAACACATCATCGAGAAACATCATGTTTCTTAATTATTACTTATTTTTGTACGGAATATTATGATTCTTTTCTCGTCAAGCATTCGTTTTGTAATATTATACAGTAGGCCTTAAATAACCTTTTTTTTTCATTAATCATCGTTTATTATTGTATCAAAAATAAATAATGTTAAAAAAATAATCATATGATCGTTATTGGTAGCATTTGGTACAATGTTATATTTTTGTTTTTAAACTGAATGTTTCAGGAAAGGATTGATAGAATTTGTACTTTTCTAAGATATATAGTTGGATGTATTACTGTATCAACAATGATTAAAAATGTGCTGTGCATTAGTGTATCCTGTGTGCTTATAAATCAGAAAATTGAAGTTTTCTGTCTGTTAGTATATATATATATATATATATATATATATATATTGTATTTCTAATATTTGATTATAGCTTAGAAAAAGTTTGTTTGGCTTCACACTGTTTCACTCATAGTCGCTTTATCAGCAACTTTAAATTAGGTCTTCAGGTGCATATTTCTGGAACGATGTAATGTTCTTCATTGTCACGAAATTCTGTAGAAACTTTTTATGCTCCAGATACTAGTGTAGCATTTTTCCTTCATTTACGCTTATCTCTTCTAACGCACAATCTCCTTTCCCCAAGGTTTGTAACTTCTGTTTTTCTATAGTTAGTTTTCTTCTTTTTTTTCACCAGCATATCTATCGTGACCGTTTACGTAAAATTTTCTTACATGTAACTGCAATATTACGTTGGCAACAACATATTTCTGAATACATAGTTTGGTAGGTTTATATACATGCTGGTAAATAATTAGATGGAAAACTGGATTGTAGGGGAGTTATGACTGTTTGAATAAATAAATGTTAAAACGTTCATAATTATTTACACAGACACTTAAAAAGGAGGAACAGCAGGACGTGGAAACAAGAAAATGTTTATTATCCAATTTTCCATGTGGTGTTGGAGACACGAGAGACAGCAATTCTGATTAAAAGTGTTATTCTGTGATAATATGTAGATCGAATATAAATCAGAATGCAACAAAATGATAAGACAGAATAAGTTATATATATATATATATATATATATATATATATATATAGATATATATAGTTAAACCTACCACGGCTTTCAACATCTTAGCGGATCGTCTGGCTCTCTAAGTTTAACTAGGTCTGCTCTACTTATTGTATTGAACATTTGACTTAGTTTTGTATTTCTTTGGGTTTTGTACTTGCATGCTAGACGGTTTCGGTTTTTTCTTGTTTTTTTCTTTTGTATACCTTCCCCCTTTGGTATTGGTTTGATTATTTCAAATCAAGAACGAACATTTTCTTAGTTTCTTATACTTATAATATTACTACTAATATATATAATATATATAACACAATGTATTTATCGTATGTTTTTTAATAGATGTGTGTAATGAGTGTCTTGAAAATTTAGTGTGAAAATACAATAGGAGTTTTCTTACTTCGAAACATTGTTGAGTTCTAAGAGATAAATGTTACTATTATGGCCTGAAAAAACAAATATGAGGTGGAATTTCCATAAACGCACGTGTTAGGACAATTCAAAAGGACAGGTTGCCAATTATGGAAATGTCATGTGTTCGTGCTTGTGTAGAGGAGAAAAGTGCTGTCCATTCTCAGTGTTTTAAAAGATTGAATTAATGATAATTATATTTAGACATTATAATTCATTTATATTAATTTATAATGGGTAATACAGTCATATAGAAAAATGAATTGATGGCCGGAGAAATGGATACAATTTCTCGGCATATTGAAGTGCTTTCCTATGAGGATATTTACAAGCAAGCAAACATTGAGAGGCCAATAGATTGTCGATACACAAAAATACTTCACTTAACCCCTCCCATATTTCCTGACACCTACAGTGATTCTTCAATGGACGATAAGAATAACTGACAACCAGTCATAAGTACATTTGTGCCTTGGCGAAATCAACAGGAATAATCAAGTTGACATCTCTAGAGTCTCTCAAGTGCTATTGACAAAATCATTGTATACAAAAGAAATGCAGAAATAACACTTAGAAATGCGGAAGCCAATTTGCACAAGCAGTGACACATCTTATCTTATCTTTTATTTCCATTTATGTAGGAGAAATAGAAACTGAAACATAAATTAATATACGATCGTGATCGATGGACAGAGGTTAAATTTAATTACAAAAAAAAGTTCTAACCGTTTCAAAACCAACACAATCAGGTTGTATGAAATAGTTTGAGGTTTAAGTTATTTGTTTGTGTTAGCTTATTAAATTAATTCCAAAAAAGATCAAATATAATAGTATTTTATTCGATTATATATTCAGCTTTATTTAAAATGACATGCTGCGAGTTATCAAACATCTGATACCTTTAAGTAATATTCAGCAGCTTTTCTTGTGAAATAATTTCGGCGAAGTTTTCAATCTCGCTTTAATTAGACAAAGATTCATCCATCTTAGCCTCTTGCAGCGATCGCAAAAAGTAATATTCGGTTAGTGGAGTAAACAAAGAGAAGAAAGTAACTAGATGGGGGGGGTCAGAAAGTGCAGTGCGCCGTTCGCCGACAGACCAGCTATTCTTTTGTCGTCGGTCGCCTCAAGGTAATGGATTGCGATACTCCCTTTTTCGGCCGTTACACCGAGCAGTCGTGAAACAAACACCAACTAAGCCGCGCCTACATCGACTTCCTCTTTGTCCGTCAGTCAATTCGTACGTCCAACTCTATTGCACGAAGTCCGCCGAATGACTCCCGACATTCTGAATCGTGCTGTTGGCTTCTCGATTTTTGTGCCTGTCTGATACGGCAGAAATTTGCATGTGTGCGAATATCGTCTCGTTTTGGACGAGATCGGCGCGCATAAATTATGTCTTTGATAGCGGCCATATTTCTTTTCCTCGTTACTTTGCAGGCAAGACACGTTCGCACTCGTTTTGAACTTCGAGGTAAGTCATGCCTTTCGTCACAGTTAGTCAAAGATCGGACTGGGTCAGCATTATATTTTCCCATGCCCGTATGATTTTTTTTATCCTTTTCCCACTCCTTTAGCGAGAGATCTTCTTGATTTTGTCCCATGGGCAAATACAGAGACTCACCCTTTTTTAGGGTTGAACGGTCCCTACTAACATCAGTTATGTTTAGTTTATTTTGTGTTGATGTTTAGTTTATTATTGGGTTCATCTCCCTCCTCTCATTATTAGAATTTTATGAATAATATCATCATTAAATTTTTTATGGTATGGGACGCGTTTTGTAGGTCCCCCCCAGATAGGATGTGGTATTATGGTGCATAGAGGATTGATTGGTGATGGACGAGTTCTTGTGATGAATGGGTAAATTGTAATGAGTGAATGGGTCGTGAATCGGATTAGCGAGGTATACGATACTTAGTGTTGGCCAGCCTCAACCCCTCCCCTTTTTCGGCCTTTTGCCACAATTATGTACTTGTTACATAATAAATTTTCAGATATTCAAAGATCGGATGAATATGGTAGTTGAAGTCGAACAGACTAGCCGAGTTCAAAATTTGTTTCCTGTGTTCTTGTATGTACTTATGCGTCGTCATAGGGGAGAATGTCATGTTCGTTTTGGCGAGCATAGGGCTATTTTCAAACTTAATAGAGACGTTACAGTTGCTGGACTTGTAAATGTGCATTTACTTTTGTTATATCGTCGGAAGAATTCTAAATGAATAACCCAAAATTCAAATCGCAGATGTATTAACTTTTTTACCATGGGGCCCAGGTTTTGGAATTGATGTTAAAGATTTATCCTTGTGAATTGATTAAATCTTCATTGAATATTGTCGTATGTAACCCATGTATAACACGCGTTAAATAATTATTGGTTAGGCAGTATGATAGATTCCTCATTAGCATTGGTTACAAAGAAAAAATAAGATCCAACGCAGAAGACTTAACTATTTTAAAATTGTCTTCTGGGTCGGACACTATGCCAATGTATGGTGATTTTTCTAAGCTTAGTTTAGATGTGAAAGTATAGGGCATTTACTGATGATCGAATTCGCTACTCAATCATAATTACTATAGCGAGAAAAGGTTGCTAATCATTGCAGCACGTCGAGTTACCTCACTGTGTCAATATGTGCATCAGTTTAATATGTATAATTTATCATATCATATAACTTCATATGCATTAATATAAATTCCGTATGTCTGCGCAATTATTTATATCTTAGTCCATCCTTCCTTGCATGGAATATTGCTGTCATATATGGTCTGGTGCTACCGCTATACGTCTCGAGGGTCTTGACAAAATCCAGAGACGAATATGCAAAATGAAAGGTCTTGATCTGGCATCAAGTATGTAATCGCTATCTCACGGATGTGCCGTGGCATCCCACTGTCTCTTGTACAAGTATTTTCACGGCAAATGTTTCGATTACTTTCGCTAATTCCCGAACTACATGAATTTACGCGAGCTTACATCTTTGTCTCACGCTTTTACTGTCAAAATGGTTAAATGTAACCGACTCTTCTACTCAAACAGCATCTTCTCTCGCGCATTCCGTCTGTGGAACTGCCTTCCCCTTAATTGCTTCCCCGATGACTATAACCTTCAAATATTCAAGTGTAATGTCAAGCGACATCTGACACCCTGAGCTTGTTCCCCGTCCTTCTCTGTATCCCTTCCCCAAATATGCCTCTTTACTCTTGCTCTCAGTCCTCTTTAACCCGTTGCGTGCTAGTGGCTCTTCCGCCTTGCTTGGGATGAATTGCCTTATATATATATATATATATATATATATATATATATATATATATATATATATATCAGCCTTTACAAACTTTGTCATATATTACAGAAAAATGTGACGTACATAAAGTGTAACCAGACATCTAATATGTAACGCCAGGTGATAACCTTCAAATCTGCATTCATCCTTACATAATGTAGACTATAAAATCGACCACTTACCAAGGCAACGTAAACTGTAATAAACCCAGATGTCAAGTTTGTAAAAATTATCACCAATAGTACTTTTACGCCACCTGGCTCGCACACCGACCTCTTCTTACTTGTGACATTTCAAATGGAATATATTTACTTTTTTGTAGCATATGCAAAATAACAAATTATATCAGTGAATATCGGTACTGAATAAGAAAACTATCAAAGACAAAATCAATTTAACTACAGCTGCACATTTTCACCAACCATAACATTAATTACGTTAGATGCATCGTTTTACAGTCTTCATTTAAATCCCAACAAGAACTCCGAAAGTCAGTTTTAATAATTTTAATTTTCTTTTTTTCTCTGTTAAATTTGTTTTAACTGCTCAGTACCCCCAAGGTATCTGAGGTTTATAGTATTTCGCTTTTCCACAGTCTGATTTATGATGGGTTGAGAGTACATCACTGCTTTCATTCCAATCTCAGATCGTAGTTTTTTTTGTTTTTTTTTTGCAAAGTTTTATCGTTAAGTTCTACTTCATTGAACACTATATAGAAAAAGATGATTGCTTTATTTTCAAGATTATGCTTACGTAAACTGTGAATATCTAATCAATCTTTTATAACTCCTGACAAAAGTGAACCTTGCTTGCTCTGGTGATCAACGCATAGGTGTAGGAAGATTACTTCATGCCTATTCTACTGACATTAACACTAAATGAACGAAAAATAATCAAGTATTTGAACTCCATTCTCAGATTTCACTCTTCACACAAATAATCCTATCGAAACCAAGACATCCTGAATCTATGACAATTCAGCATTTGTTAAAATCACTAAATTCTTTAATCTTGCATAATATTGCGGCATTAAAAAAATCCAGTAAATATCCAAAAAAATAATCGGTTAACCACATCTGCTGATATGCATCTAGGTTTGATAAAGTTAGACTTTACACGATCGAGGTATTTTCAGGATTATCATGTGTGGATATACGTATCTTTATATTAAAATCTGGTATAAGTAAAATAACACGATATCTATAATACATGAGGTCTGAACTGTTGAATGCGAATGGGTTTGTTTAATGTGAAGCAAATTCATGTGAGGACATAAAAATCGCCACATGTGTGTATAAATCATTTGATTCCCTCCGAGTCTCCTGCAGGTGCACGCGTCAAAAGAAAGTTTCATAAAGTTTTGACAGTCTTTTAATTCCCTCGTGCGTGATTTAGCAGGTGTTACATACAAAACCTGTTTTGCTTTTTTATGTTTCCACATTGCCATTGTTGGAGAAGAAATAAATTAACGTATTATCTTTAAATGCAGACATAATAAATTCACGAACACTAAAAATGGTGTTCATTTCTTGATATTCGCTCGCAAATTGTCTACAGAAAGCTGTTGCTTTTAATGTTTACTTCCGCAAGTGAATACACTCCCAGAAAACTTTATATATGACATTATCTCACAAGGTTATTTTGTAGAATATTATTTGCTCTTAAATCAGCTTCGAAATTCTGTGACTGCAAATATCTAGCTAGCTAGCAAGCCGCCTTCAGCTCATTCTTCTTTTTCCCCTCACTCTCATTCCTCCACTTCGTTCTTCCCAGCATTGTCTCTACCAACTCGATCTTCTCTCACTCTCTCTTGCCTCTCTCTCGCCTCCTCTCTCTCTCGCCTCCCTCTCTCTCGCCTCCCCTCTCTCTCTCTCGCCCCCCTCTCTCTCGCCTCCCCTCTCTCTCTCGCCTCCCCTCTCTCTCTCGCCTCCCCTCTCTCTCTCGCCTCCCCTCTCTCTCTCGCCTCCCCTCTCTCTCTCGCCTCCCCTCTCGCTCTTGCCTCCACTCTCGCTCTCTCTCTCTTGCCTCCACTCTCGCTCTCACTTCATATCTCCATAAATTTTCTGAAGTCATCCCTTGAAGGCAACCATAACAATCTCCCGCTAGAACTTCTCAACAATAAAAGAAATGGTCGAACCTACCTTATTAAACTGCACTGAATAAATCTTCACTACAAGCGTAAGCGCTTGTATGATTTTTTTATGCACTGTTAAAATGTAATTTAAGTGATATTCTCTTTGTTTCTATTTAATAGAATTTGCCAAAAGTTTATTACTTGCAATTTCCAGTATGATTACATTCTTTTAAAACCATGATTTCTATATAAACACACACACACACATATATATATATATATATATATATTGTTTATTTTTCAAATGTGCACCTAAAAAGATAATACTAACTGTGACTCCGAAAGATATGAGTTCGTTTCCAGTCATAACAAAAGAATCCGAATTTTCGAATTACAAATTAAATCCCGAACCAAGCGAAAAATTTATATTAAAAGATTCGTTTTATGATGTTCGACAAGAAACGGCATTTGTATATAGCATAACTGTTTATCAAATTTATACGAAAAAGAATGCACATTAGAAGTTAAATCTAGGAATATTGATTGTACTTGTAATCCATTAATCTTTTGCCTTACTCTCAAAATATATAAAGTTTTTACATATTCCTAAGAAACAAGTGTTTATATGTGTTGATGAGTATGATAATGCATAGATCATGTGAAATATGCGTCTGCGGGTATTTTTGAACTGATTAAGATTGCAGAGTATTAACGAAACTTTGCAAAATAAAATGAAAAAAAAATTAAGTCAGTTCACCACAAACAAGGCCGGGGTGCCACTAGCACGCAGGGGGTAACAGAGAATTGAAAACAAGACTAAAGCGTCGTGTTTGAGGGAAGGATACAGAGAAGGACGGGAGAGAGGCTCAGGGTGTCAAATGTCGATTGACATTAAACTTTAATATTTAAAGATAGTATTCGTCAGTGAAACAAGTAAGGGGAAGCGAGTTCAACTGACGGGAAGTGCTGGAGAAGAGACTGTTACATATAGCTTTACTGTTATGATTTCCTTACACAAAATAAAAAAAAAAGTTTCGTCTAACTTATTTAGAAATACATTGGGAGCATCTTTAGGAAGATAAGGAAGAGTTAATATGGGGAAGAGTTGAAAAGGAAAATATTTGACACATTTCCAATTTGCTGAAGACATTGTACTAAAATCCGTTTCCTCGGATGATTTACTAGAAATGATACATTATTTAAATGGAGAAAAATTCAGCGTCATTTTAAGGATGAACGGAAATTAATAAATGTATTGATTACATGTAATTCCCAGCCAAAAACCAATGATCACAAGAATAAAAGATGAAGACCTGGAAGTTACCCAGGAGACTGCTTAGGGAGAATTTACAGTTAGAGAAAGGCCATAAGAATGAAGTAAATGTACACATTAGGATAAGTTGGTAATTATAATGTATAATGAATTATTTCGTCATATAAATGTATAATGAATTTTGTAATTAATGCATAAAGCCAGGTTTGGGGTAAGTTTACGACACAGAGTAAATATTATTATTAGAAATAAAGCTCATCTCGCAAATTTCTACAGGAATTGCAATCACAATTACTTCCATAGAAAAACTCTAACAGAGGGAATAAAACCATTGTGATGTCGGTATGAACAGCATTAGAAAGATATTGAGTTGGATAATCTAAGAGAAAACTTATAGATATTCGTGATAATTTTCGTTTCTAAGACTTTGTCAATATGCATATGACATGTATCATGAAACGCGGAAATCATTTATTATACTCAAAAATTGGCGCAAAATGAAAATACATATGCTGATTGATAAATTTCATTATGGTTTCGATTTCATATATTTCATATGAGCAAATATTTTCAAAAACATATATATAGGAACAAATGTGGTTCGTACGTGCGAAGAGAATATCATATAAAATTACATATATCAAAATACCTTTACAAATATTGGGGGGGCTCCACACGCCAAAAAGGAGCCCACTCCCAAAGTTTGTAAAGACAATAATTTTATATATATATATATATATATATATATATATATATATATATATATATATATATATATATATAAACCTTAATTTTGTTTTATTTAATTTTATTTATTTTTAATATATATATTTGAAAGTGAAGGATATAGGAAATTATATATTCTATTCATCATGCGTTTTTTTTTTTTTTTACAGTTTTTCTTTTCTGGGATCAAAGTGTGTAAAAAATGTGCGTTGCAATTATTACCCGATGCATTATCGAACAATTCATTAGTCTTTTAATATTGACTTCTATTTAGTTTCTTTTCTTTTCTTTTCTTTTTTTTTAAAGACACCAGTACATTGAATTTAGGAATACTTCCACACAGAACGGCCAGAACTACTATTTATATTCAATACAACTTGAAAACGGACTTAGCAAAAGAAATCGTATGAACTTTTAATACACTCTATCCGTCCCCGCAAAATTAAAATCTGAAAAACTTTGAAAAAAAAAAGAAAGAAAAACATTTTTGTCAGTTATATATATATATATACATATATATTTTCCTTGAAATTTTCATGTTCTTCATGTATTTTAATATTTTATGATATTTTTATCAAAATTAAAATGTGATGTTATTTTTTAAATATTCCTCTTGATTATTAGAATTCCTTGCTTGAGACACAGAATTTTTGGTACATTATTAGATTATTCTAATATGAGACAAATGTCATTAGAACATGTTAAATGGTTTAAATGTAATCTATTTTCATTTTCCGGGGCGTGATTTTCCAGGTTTACTGGAAATAATTTTTGAAATCGTATCTCTTTCATCCTATCTTAAACATTTATTTTTCTTTTCCGACTTCAAATTATTGCACGCAGTTACAAGTTCTGAATAACATTTAGCAACGACAGTCACATTTTCTCCTGAATTTTATGCCTTTCTATAGTTAAGCGAAACTAAAGCTATTTTTCTTATATGTTTTTTTTTTTTCATTAATTGCTCTATTTTCTGTATTAAGTCTTTAGTCGTCATCGTTTATGGGCTGCGTAACTTCAGGATGTTGGCCCTATATAAATCACCGCCTCTCGGCCCATGTCGCCCTCTGATATTTTACCATACAATTGTGAACACCATTCTATCCTTCCTTCTCACAAATTACATGGATTATTCGTTGTTCCCCTCTGTTATTTCCGCTTTCATTATGCCCGTTGGGATTCTCCATATCGTCTTCATTATAGTTCGTGAAATTCTATCTTCTGATTTTAAGTGACATTTTGTTTTTTATAACTTAAATAAATGTTGGTTATATGTTCTAAAGCTATTCCTAAAATATGTTTCCTAGCGGTTTTCATCGAGTATTTTTGAGAAATTGCATGTATTCGTCAGTAATCTGATATATATATATATATATATATATATATATAGAGAGAGAGAGAGTTTAAATGTTCTACATTGTGACGAAAGTGGCAATTAAAAAAAATACAACATAAAAAGACGTAGGATTACCGGCAAAAAGGCACTTAATCTTAGTTAAATAACGAATCTCATGTTAGATGCTGGACGCCACCTGTAAACAGAACATTTATTTATTTTAAAGTGGGAGAAACAAAATAAGAAAAATATTCGTTTTTTTTTTTTTTTTCCTTTATTACTTTCACCCAGTTAGTTATTGCGTCACTTTGAAGTTTGTCTGTTGACAGGATTCGAAATTATATAGTGAGTAATAAAAAAAAAAATAACCGCGTGTCAATATTATGTTGAGACAAGTAGGAGATATTTGACTTCCAAAAGTACGGTCAGTACAAGCAAAAAAAATATGTCCATTTACTTTCTAATATCTTTACAAATTTGTTTTGAATTAAAGATTATTATTGGATGATTAAATCTGAGGCATTTATTTGCGTGCATTGAATATTTCAGGATTTCAGTTATTTTTAATTTAAACGTCCTTCAGTTTCGCTTGTCGAATCGACCATCACTTGCTGAATAGTGAGGTTGCTTTTGTCAAAATTATACATTTCGTCAATTCGTTGCATTCGCTTTGGAGATCAACACAATTGTTATGCCATGAAAAATGCTGAAGTGGCAATCATGGACGGTGATATTTTATTTGGATTATTTTTGGTGGTTGTTACTATTTAAAAAAAATAACAAACCAAATGTGGAATATAGTTTATAATAAGTGTGGCTATAGACGTGTACATTTAATTTGATTAAAGGTATCTATATACCAATAGAAGTTTTTTTGTACATAGATAGAAATTAATACTTAATTAAAAGATAAAGAAGTAACGTTAATATATATATTTATGAAAAACCCAGATAGCTGGATGGATTATGAAAAATTGAGATATTGAACAAGCATTGATGCTTTCTGGATGAAATGTATTCATACAAACGTATATATATATATATATATATATATATATATATATTCTGTGCACACACACACACACACACACACATATATATATATATATATTCTGTGTGCACACACACACATATATATATATATATATATATATATATATATATATTCTGTGTACACACATATATATATATATATATATATATTCTGTGTGCACACACACACATATATATATATATATATATATATATATATATATATATATTCACACACACACACACACACACACACATATATATATATATATATATATATTCTGTGTGCACACACACACACACATATATATATATATATATATAACTCTGCATGAAGACTGATAGTTTCATGTCTTAAATGATCTTCAATGAATTGGATAAGCTTAAAGAAAATCTGAGGCATGAAACTTGCACTTATAATACAATGTCTGTCCTCCGAACTCCTGATTGTTTAAGCCATGGCTCTATCACTCCCCATGCAGTGTTCATACCGATGTTATATATATATATATATATATATATATAATATGCATTTACACGAAGTTTATTAATAATAAATGGATATATCTGCTAGCTTAGTCTTCGATATTTGAGAATATATCTATAACTGATGGCATGTTAAATGTACTACGGATAAAA